CCCTTAAGTCATCAACCATCAGTACACATAAGTAGTAACACCCTTCGAGTAAAGAATTATTATTAATAATTGCCTTCACATTTGGCTTGTTCTAAAGTGGCATTTTCTCAAAGTGGAAATGGAAAGAGTTTCAGATTTCAAACAATGTACCTGTGGAACTGTAAAATAGTAAATATTTTTTTAACATGCCTTCACTTTGCTAGTGGAGGGTGAGTTTCGGCGGAGGTATGACGGGACAGCAAAGGATTTTTAGTAGCAATGTTCTGATGAAGGAGCATGGAAGGAGAATGATATCCAGAGACACCTCCCTTCGCTCTATATTTAGGAACACAAGCACGTCCTGGTTCAAGATGATAATTATAGCAAAGGACATGGAGAATCTGAGGTTAGAATGGCGGAGATGGACTGTTAGAGACCGCCCTTGGGCTCTCCCGTTTCTATTTAGGGAATGAGGGGTTTGAGTGGTATTGAACGGGAATTCCAAAGGGGTACTGGAGCATCCCTGTATTCATGTTTAAAGCACCTGCTGGCCCTGAATGCCTCGCTTTACAGAAGGTACTCTGTGTCCCTGAAAACAAGTGTGAGGTCTGTAGGCTTGTCATCATGAAATGAAATACATCTCTTGCGATCATTACACATAATCCATGCACTGTCTCTCAGAGCCATTTATCATGCGCCCACTAGACTAGCTCATTTCTATAAAGCCCTGTAAAAACTGAAAACTAAGCTCTGTCTTCTGAAAGAACTGGGGGGGGGGAGTCCTACTCTATGATTGTTATCCTAACATTGTGTTGACAGTAAGCAATACCTATGCATATCCCATTCAGAACAAAGTAGAAATGCAAGAAAGGCAGTCATCAGTTTCCAGCTTGCTTCTGAGTGCTTGAATAATGGCCTTGTTTTTTCAGGCTGAAAACCAAAGAACTGACACCAAGTCAAATGCTTTAGCACCAAACTCCTCCAGGAGTGCTGACATCTTACATCTGGGGAAGACCTGTACTGCTGATGTCATTCCAGTCATTTCACTGACAAGCAGCATCACAAACTCAAATGCAGAAGAGTACATTTTCAGGAAATTTCTCAAAAAATTAAAAAGACAACTCCATGTGATCCAGTGTCAAAAGAATGGTCCATGGGGAACAATGCCTTGGGGAACTGTGAGAGAGCCTCCAGGAGAAAGGCAGAGGGCCTTTCACCTCAGGTGCATTTTGTTCCCTGGGTTGTTCTTGGGTGTGATTTCGGGCCTCCTGTGACAAACATTTTAATTCATAAGACATGTTTGTTCTTGTTGGATGTCAGAAACAGCTGGAGAACCCAGTCTGGTCAATGTATCCCGAATCTGGACATGGCCTTCTGCCTGGCTTTTGTGTTTTCCCTGGTGTAATGTATAGTATGTGATAGGCACTGTGTTTAAATTGGTCTGCCCTAAGAAAGTTCTGGCAAAGGGCTGCTCTGTTAATATTTAGTATGTGTTCATTGATGTCTGTTTACATGCTTTTCTGAACTCAAACAACCTTCCTTAGACCATTGCTTTCTTTGCTTCATTCATGTGTAAAAGCACACTGAAACTCAAGAAGCTAGTCTCCAAAATACCAAATAATCCAATTAAAAAGTGGGTATAGAACTAAATAGGGAATTTTCAATAGAGGAATCTAAAATGGCTAATAGACACTTAAGAAAGTGCTCAACATCCTTAGCCATCAGGGAAATGCAAATCAAAACAACTCTGAGATACCATCTTGCTCCTGTCAGAATGACTAAAATTAAAATACCAAGGACAGTTTGTGCTGGAGAGGATCTGGAGAAAGGGGAACACTCCTCCATTGCTGGTGGGAGAGCCAACTTGTACAGCCACTTTGGAAATAAGTATGGAGATTCCTCAGGAAAATGGGAATCAGTCTACCATAAGACCCAGCAATTCCACTCTTAGGCATATACCCAAAAGATACACATTCATACAATAAGGACATCTGTTCAACTATGTTCATAGCAACATTATTTGTAATAGCCAGAACCTGGAAGCAATCTAGATGCCCCTCAACTAAAGAATGGATAGAGAAAATGTGGTACATTTACACAATGGAGTACTACTCAGTGGAAAAACACAATGGAAATGGATGGATGGAACTAGAAGAAGCCATCATGAGCGAAGTTATCCAATCACATAAAGACAAACATGGTATGTACTCATTCATATATGGATTTTAGAGTAAAGGATTACCAACCTACAATTCACACTGTCAGAGAAGCTAGGAAATAAGAAGGACCTTAAGAGAGACATGCATGGTCTCCTGGAGAAGGGGAAAAGAACAGGATCTCCTGAGCAAATTGAGAGCATGGAGGGAGGGGAGAGGGAGCTAGGAGAAAAGAGAAGGGGAGAAGAGGCCATGAGGGGGCAGGAAGGTTGAGTCAGGGGAAGAATAGAGGAGAGCAAGATAAGAGATGCCTTAATAGAGGGAGCCATTATAGGTTCAAAGAGAAATGTCCAGAGATCTACAAGGATGACACCAACTGGCAATCTAAGCAATAGTGGAGAGGCTACCTTAAATGCCCTTCCCCCTGGAGCCTTGTCCAGTAGCTGATGCAAACAGAAGCAGACACCCATAGCTAAACACTCAACTGAACTTCTGGAAACTAGTTGCAGAGAGGGAGGATGAGCAAAGGGGTCAAGACCAGGTTGGTGAAACCCTGACCTGAACAGAAACAGCTGACATGAACAAGGGGGAGCTCATGGACCCCAGACTAATAGCTGGGATACCAGCATATGACGGACCCAGACTCCCTGAGTGAGGATGTCAGTTTGGAGGTCTGGTTAATCTATGGAGCTTCTGGTAGTGGATCAGCATTTATACCTAGGATATGAATGGACTTTGGGAGCCCATTACACATAGAGGGATACTTTCTAAGCCTAGATGCATGTGGGAGGGCCTAGGCCCTGCTCCAAGTGATATGACAGACTTTGAAGATACCCTATGGAAAGCCTCACCCTCCCTGGGGAGCAGAAAGGGAATGAGATAGGGGGTTAGTGGGGACAAGGGGAGGAGGGGAGGGAGAGGGAACTGGGATTGACATGTAAAACAAGCTTGTTTCTAATTTAAACAAAAATATTTTTAAAAAGTACACTGAAACAGAAGAAAGGCTGTCTATAGCATTTGACTGTACCCCCCTCCCCCATTCTTTTAGGTCCTCAGATCCTGGGTCCAGCAGACAAGATCTGCTCAGGTGAGCTGAAAAGTCAATATCTAGCATCCTGTTTCTGAGCATATGGCCACTAGAATTAAAAACCAGCATCTCAAAGAAATATGTGCCTGATGTGTTCATTGTAGTATGATTCAGAGTAGCCAATATATGCAACCAAGACAAATATCCAGTAAATATTGTAATGGAATGTTATCCGTACCTCCAAAATAAAAAACCCTCATCCAGACTCCCTGAATGTGGCTGTCAGTGAGGAGGCCTAGGCAATCTATGGGACCTTGAGTAGTAGATCAGTGTTTATCCTTGGCATACAAATGGACTTTGGATGCCCTTCCTACAAATGAGGGGTGTTCTTTCAGCCTGGACTCTTGGGGGGAGGATGTAGGCCCTGCCCTGACAGACTTTAGAGATCCCCATGGAGGGCCTCACCCTCCCTTGGGAGTGGAGTGGGGACTGGGTGTGGGGCTGGGAGGACTGGTAGGGGGGCGGGGGAGGAGGGGAGGGAGAGGGAGCTGGGATTGATGTGTGAAGCAAGCTTGTTTCTAATTTAAATTTTAAAAAAACCTGCTATTTTCAGCAAGATGGATGAACCTAAGGAGGACCTGTGTGAAATAACCCAAACACAGACAGACAAATCCTGCATGTGGGAACACTTAACATGAGGAAACTAAAAAACAGAATTCACAGAAAGAGTACAATAGTGTTTTCCAGGGTTAGGAGGGTACCCCCCCCCAGTATATCATTTCAAGTTGTAAATGAATAAATTTGAGAGTTCTAATGTATAACATGATAACATGTTACATGCTCATAGCTTGTTAGAATGGCAGATTTTAAACGTTCTCATCGGAAACAATGGTAATTATCCCATAAGATTGCTATATTAATTAGTTGGGTTGTGGTAATAATTTTACTTAACTATGCATATCAAATCGCCACATTATATACTTTGAGTTTACACAAATTTCATTTGTCAGTGGAACCTTAATATAACTAAAGTGCCTTCTTTTTAAAATTTAAATATTCACACAATATATTTTGACAATGTTCTTTTTCCTCCTCCAACTCCTCCAAGATCCTCCTCACCTCCATACCCAGACAACTACATATGCTTCATATGCTTTCCTTCTCTTAAAAATCAAAACACACGCACACACACCACCACCACCACCACCACCACCACAACAACAACAACAAAATACTATGGAGTGCATTCTGTATTAGTCAACTACTCCTGAGCATGAGATCTACCCTAAAGTGTAGTTGATAGACACATTGAAGGAAATGGATTTTCTCTCTCCCTTTAGGTATCAATTGCAAGTAACTTCTTGGTTAGGGGTGGGACTTAGTGTCCATTTCCCATCCTCTGTGCTGTTCCTGACAATTTCATACATGTGAACAAGGTTTTCTCTTCACTCTCCCTGCTTTTCCCCTTCCAGGCCTATTGATCCCTGTAGCCCCTGGCACCACTACTCATCCCTTTTCTAGTTTTATGACTTTTTTTTATTTAGTTTTGTGACATATTTAGCTTACTCAAGGACATCAGTGTAACCACTGGGTTAGAACTGCCAACTGAAGCCCAGTGGGGTAATCAGGCTGGAAATCTTTGAAAACTAAAAACAATAATAAGGTTGAAACCGAGGTCAGACAGTACACGTGTTAGTTTAGCTGTATCCTATGTTAATTCTTACCTGTTATAGGTCTATATGAGTGATTCCTAAACTGTTCTTTAGGGAAAGGGGAAGGAATTGTCTCTCCTGTGTGAATAAATTTGCTTCATCAACATCTAACAAGAACAAACTTACTTTTCAGATCCATTAGTCTACAGCAGTGACTCTGTAAGAGGAGAAACATATACAACTCAAATGCAGGGTTATTGGATTTTTCTGTTCAGTTAATCGTATCCCACCAGAGACTTCTAACACATCCATTTGCCTGTCTGTTTCCTTCACTAGTACCACAGCATTTTAATCATTCCAGTAGCACAGAATGGTGTGACAATTGTGAGGGCGGGCCTTTATTTTTATTTCAAAATTCTTTATGTCACATGTTGTTTCTTACACTTGACTTTCAGAATTGCTTCCAGTAATAAAAATGAAATTGCAACTGAAAATACACCAAGAATAGATTCATCTGGGCAAAACTGACATGTGCAAAATATTGACTTGACTTCTCCCCAGGAAAATTACATGTCTTGATTTATTAAAAATTGTATTTCAAATTAATAAAGTTTCAAAGATCCTTAATGAAATAGTGAAGAGTCCTTAAATATTTATTCATTAGTATTTTGTAATTTTTAATACTTTGTAAGTAAGATTGTCTTTCTCTAATCTACTTGAAACCATGGGCTCCCATATATTGAAAGTTAACCTTCTTTATGTACTAATTTTGACTCGGTTGCTTTTCAGAGCTCTTATCTGGTCTAAGGATTTCAGGTAGATTTCCTTAACTTCTCTCTGTATGTAGTGTCTCAACATTATGGATGCTGAAAGGATTTGTGTGTGTGTGTGTGTGTGTGTGTGTGTGTGTGTGTGTGCATACATACATACACATACATACATACATATATATGTGTGTGTGCATACATACATATATGTATGCGTACACATATGCATACATATACATACATATGCGTGCATGTGTTGAGGTAGTGAGGGAAGATAGATTCTACTAACAGTTTTGAACAAGAAATTAGCATGTAACACTAACATGCTTTCTGAAAAGCTCATAAAGTGAGGATGAAACAATAAAAGTGAAGAGGCACTGTTTGGAGAAGAAAGAAGGGTCTCCATCTCCTAACAGCTCCTAAGATCATCAGAGCAAAGCGTCCTGGCCCTTGTTTCCCTTGGCTGGAGTCTCTCTTTCACATGAAATGCTAGGGCTATTGTTGGGGTTGGAATTTGATGAGCTTTGATTTCTCTTTAATTTTAGAGCCTAGAATGTTGTTGTTTGAAGTTCTACCTTCCAAGCACCCCCTATTTTTTAATTATTATTTTTTATCTAGGTTAGAAGCAATCTTGTTTCACATGTCAATCCCAGCTTCCTCTCCCTCCCCTCCTTCCCTGCCCTCCCCACCAGGTTCCCAGTCATCCACCCAATCTCCACTCCGATCCCCAAGGAGGGTGAAGCACTCCATGGTGGATCTCCAGTAACTGTTATTTCATCCAGGGCAGGGCCTAGGCCCTTCCAGAAGAGTCCCGGCTGAGAGAGCATCCCATATTGTGGCATGGGCACTCAAAGTCTTTTTTTTTGGGGGGGGGGGGAGAAAAAAACATTTTATTTAGAAACTTTGAGGCGATAGACTTTGATTACATTATCCTTTACTGTCTCTATTTCTTCTTTTTTTTATAAATTCTTTTTTATTATTTATTTTTTTATTTTTTAAATTTTATTTTCCAGTTTAAATTTAGATAAGAAACAAGGTTGCTTCACAAGTCAGTTCTAGGTCCCTCTCCCTTTCCCTCCCCTCCTCCCGTGCCCTCCCCCCAACCCCCCCTTATCCCCTCATTCCCCCAGGGAGGGTGAGGCCCTCCATGGGGGTGTCCATAGTCTGTCATTTCATATAGGGCAGGGCCTAGACCCTTCCCCAAGAGTTCAGGGTGAGAGTGCACCTCACATTGTTCTATGGGAGTCCAAAGTCCGTGTGTATACTTGGGATGGGTACTGATCTGCTGCCCAAGGCTCAATAGATTACCTAGGCCTCCTCACTGACACCCAGATTCAGGGGGTCTTGATCAGTCCCATGCTGGATTCAAAGTCTATTTTAAGCCAGGAATAAATACTACCCAAAGCCCAATGGATTACCTAGGCCTCCTCACTGACACCCACCTTCAGGGGGTCTGAGTCCCATGCTTTCCACACAGCCATCAATCTGGAGTCCAAGAGGTCCCCCTTGTTCAGGTCAACTATTTCTGTGGGTTAAACCAGCCCACTCTTAACTCCTTTGCCCATCAGTTCTCTCTTTCTGATACTGGATTCCAGGAGTTCAGTTCAGTGTTTGTCTGTGGGTATCTGCCTCTGCTTCCATCAGTCGCTGGATGAAGGTTCTGTTTCCTAGACTCTCTGGCAGTGGGATTATATGCTGGCACTCCCCTGATTCATATCTAAAATCCATAAATGAGTGAGTACATCCCATGTTTGTCTTTTTGTGACTGTGTTACCTCACTCAGGATGGTTTCTTCTAGTGCCATCTATTTCCCTGCAAATTTCAAGATTCCGTTTTTTTTCCCCAATGAATAGTACTCCATTGTATAAATGTACCAAATTTTCTCTATCCACTCTTCAGTTGAGGGGCATCTAGGTTGCTTCCAGGTTCTGGCTATTACAAATAATGCTGCTATGAACAAAGTGGAACAGACATCCTTGTTGTATGAATGGGCATCTTTTGGGTATATGCCTAAGAGTGGAATTGCTGGGTCTTGTGGTAGACTGATTCCCATTTTCCTGAGGAATCTCCATACTGATTTCCAAAGTGGCTGTACAAGTCAGCACTCCCACTAGCAGCGTAGGAGTGTTCCCCTTTCTCCACATCCTCTCCAGCATAAACTGTCACTGGAGTTTTTGATTTTAGCCATTCTGACAGGAGCAAGATGGTATCTCAGAGTTGTTTTGATTTGCATTTCTCGGGTGGGTAGGGATGTTGAGCAATTTCTCACGTGTCTATCAGCCATTTTAGATTCCTCTACTGAGAATACTCTATATTTAGTTCTGTAACCCATTTTTTTATTGGATCCTTTGATGTTTTGGAGACTTGCTTCTTGAGTTCTTTGTAAATTTTGGAGATCAGCCCTCTGTCAGATTTGGGGTTAGTGAATATCTTTTCCCAATCTGTGGGTTGCCTTTTTGTCTTGATGACTGTGTCCTTTGCCTTACAGAAGTTTCTCAGTTTCAGGAGGTCACATTTATTAATTGTTGATCTTAGTGTCTGTGCTACTGGTGTTATGTTCAGGAAGTGGTCTCGTGTACCAATTTGTTCAAGGGTGCCCCCACTTTCTCTTATAACAGGTTCAGTGTGGCTGGATTTATGTTGAGGTCTTTGATCCATTTGGACTTAAGTTTTGTGCATGGTGATAGACATGGATCAATCCACATTCTTCTACATGCTAGCATCCAGTTATGCCAGCACCATTTGTTGAAGATGCTTTCTTTTTTTCCATTGTATATTTTTAGCTTCTTTGTCGAAAATCAGATGTTCATACATGTATGGGTTAATATCAGGATGTTCAATTCGATTCCATTGGTCTACCTGTCTATTTTTGTGCCAATACCAAGCTGTTTTCAGGACTATAGCTCTATAATAGAGCTTGAAGTCAGGGATGGTGATGACTGCTTCTATTTCCTTAAGTGCTATAGGTTTATTTAAATTGCTTATCTGTTCTTGATTTAATTTTGGCAAGTAATATCTATCCAGAAAAGTTTCCATTTCCTTTTCAAGTTTTGTGGAGTACAGGTTTTCACAGTATGACCTGATGATTCTCTGGATTTGCTCAGTGTCCGTTGTTATGTCCCCCTTTTTGTTTCAGATTTTGTTAATTTGCATGTTCACACTCTGTCGTTTTGTAAGTTTGTCTATCATGTTGATTTTCTCAAAGAACTAACTCTTCGTTACATTGGCTTTTTTTGTATTGTTTCCCTAGTCTCTGCTTTATTGATTTCAGCCCTCAATTTGATTATTTCCTGGCATCTACTCCTCCTGCATGAATTTGCTTCTTCCTTTCTAGAGCTTTCAGTTGTGCTGTTAATTCTCTAGTGTAACTATCCTCCAGTTTCTTCATGTGGGTACTTAGTGCTAAGAACTTCCCTTGTAGCACTGCTTTCAAAGTGTTCCATAAGTTTGGGTATGTTGTGTGCTCATTCTCATTGAATTCTAGGAAGTCCTTAGTTTCTTTTTTTTATTTCTTCATTGACCTAGGAATGGTGCAATTGTGCATTATTCAACTTCCACTATTTTGTAGGGTTTCTGCAATTTGTGTTGTTGTTGAATTCTAATTTTAATGCATGGTGGTCTGATAAGGTGCATAGAGTTATTCCATTTTTTTGTACCTGTTGAGGTGTGATATGTTGCCAAGTATGTGGTCAATTTTTGAGAAGGTTCCATGTGGCGCTGAGAAGAAGGTATATTCCTTTTTATTTGTGTGGAATGTCTATAGTTGTCTGTTAATCACAAATGGGTCATAACTTCTATCAGTTCCTTTGCTTCTTTGATAAGTTTCTGTCTGGTAGTCCTGTCTAGAGGTGAGAGTGGGGTGTTGAAGTCTCCCACTGAGTTTTAGTAATGTTTTTTATGAACGTGGGTGCCTTTGTATTTGGGGCATAGATGTTTAAAATTGAAACTTCATCCTGGTGGAATTCTCCTGTGATTAGTATGAAGTGCCTTCCTTCATTTCTTATGATTGATTTTATTTTAAAATCTAATTTGTTAGATATTAGGTTTGCTACCCCCGCTTGTTTCTTGGGTCCATTTGATTGGAAAATACTTTCCCAACCCTTAATTCTGAGGTAATGTCTGTCTTTAAGGCTGAGGTATGTTTCTTGTATGCAGCAGAAGGATGAGTTATGTCTAAGAATCCATTCTGTTAGCCTGTGTCTCTATATGGGTGAGTTAAGACCATTAATACTGAGGGATATTAATGACCATCAATTGTGCATTCTTGTTTGTTTTGGAATAGTTGATGGTGGTGAAATTATATGTGGATTTCCACCCCTTTTTTCCTTTGGCTGTTGGTAAGGTGGGATTATCTATTGCATATGTTTTTCTGGTTGTAGTTAATTCCCTTGGGTTGGAGTTTTCCTTCCAGAACTTTCTGTAGGGCTGGGTTAGTGAATACATATTGTTT